AGAACAATTTCTCCCAGGATAGTAGGAAATTCTCACAGTGTACAGCAACTTGCCTTTCAGGAGGTTTTTAATTGCCAAATAAATCATGAATAGGCAGTTTATGATGTTAATTAAAAAAGGAAGTAAAAGCAAATCTAGTGTCCTTTTAAGGCTCCACAACATGGCTTGGGCTCTATGTTTTTCCCTCCACTCCCACAGCACTCCACTTACTAGAGTTTGCTAGACTGCAATCTCTTCACAGGGAGCCTCTCTAAGTAATGCCTGTGGGTGATTGTGTCATTCTTCTTTATCTGGAGATGGTTCCAAAGAGTTGAACCGGTTGCCAGCTCCTCTAATTGCTGTGTGCATCAGCTCCATAAAGAAACTGAGCCAATCCACCATTTTCCCCGGAAGTCAACAATTAGTCTTCTCAAAGTGGCTGGCTTTCACTGACTGCCCCTTACTCTATGAGACTGGGGAGAAATTGTTCTTATTTATGTTTAATTATTTAAGTGTTTTAAGTAGTTTTATAATGTTTTAATTGTCGGTTTTATTGTATGTCACCCAGAGTCACCTTGTGTGATTCAGGAAGCCATATAGATTTGGTAAGTAAGTAAGTAAATAAATAAATAAAGTACATAGAAAGAGAGAAAATTAATTGAAGAAGATCCAAGCTGAAGGACCACATGATCTTTTTCCAATGGGTATGCACTGAAACCCAAGAGTTTATTTATTCAAGTAGAAAACTACAAATTTAGCTAGGATGAATGTACTGATTTTATTAAAAGTTCTCTCTATGTGACTGCTGCCTTTTCTTGTTTTCCCTGAAATTTCCTTTTCCCAATATACTCGATTTATATCAATAAATTTGGCTTCATTGGTTTAAGAAAACTTCTTATCAAAACTTTATCCATATGCAATATTGCACAGATATACTGTACATCTACCCCTTATGTTTCAGGATTGGCACAAGATTTACTAACTTTTGAATTTCTGGGCTTTGGGCAAGAAGATCCAAAGCATTTTTCTTTCTCTGTTTTCTGGACTGAAGCAAAAAGTCCTGAGTAGATGGAACTAAGAACTCCCCAGCTGAACAAACTAGATGATGTCTGGTGGTTTGGCCTAATTGATGGCAGTCCACCTGAGAACCCTTGAAAGAAGGGGTATGCCAGGCAGGTTTTAAATTATTCCACTCCCCACCCCTTTGGTAACAAGTGGTGAACCATTTTTCTAGTTATATATTTAAAATATTAATCTGGTAGCAAAACTACTGAAAGAGTGTTAGAATAATTCACCATTTTAATGCAACTATTTTTAAGGGAATTTTTTTTCCTAACCACTACCAGTTTGGGGGAGGGGGGTTCCTGAACTAACACTTCCAACCTACGTTTCTATACAAGACAAATGATAAATGATTGTTTTTTCATAAGCAATTATGGACAATTCTGTATAAATATATAAACACTTTACTGCTACATACTATAATTGTTTTTGTTGCTTTTAAAAATAGCTTGGAATTTGAATTTTCCTTTCTCAGTCCATAGCAGGTATATCATGTCCTTTTTTAAAATATGTTTTGTCTTAACTGGTGGACATCTCTGACAGCATGAAAAGTTAATTTAAGTTTGGATTGTAGTTTTCAGAAGAAGAGCAATGACTTACTTCTTGGAGTCACCCTTTCTGGAGCAGCTGATAATGAGCAATTAAATATGTCTAACATTAACACCCAAAAACTTATTTGATGTTGCTGATACTAAGAGTTGTTCACCCATATGATAATTAGCCTTTATTACCATGAAAAATTAAGAACCAATTTAATCACTTATTAAATACGTTCTATTTTATTTTCAAAAACTATCATTCAAGTTGCTTAAAAGTTGGCATACAGCTAATCCTCACTTTGCTGTAGTAACACATTTGTCCCACCAAATGTGGAGCTATTTACAACTTACATTTCACACAACACGATACTAGCGACACTCTACAAGTGGGTGCTGTTCCATGTATTATAGCATGCATTACAACAAGGAGCAACATCCCACAACTACAGTGTACGAATCAGCTATTGCAATGACCAGTATTTGCTTCATTGAGCAGGTGCACAAACATGCAAGACCTCTTCCCCTCTTCGCACTTGCAAGTTTTATTTCAATTATTAATAGGTGTATTACTACTACTACTATTACAGTATTACTATTATTATTCCACACTGGAAAGTTAAACCTTTTCATTCTAGAAATGTCAGAGCAGAAAACCCCCGACACAGAGTCGCCATTCAGTCCTGAAGCTGAGTTGGTCCAGTTCAGCTGTCAGCCAGACCCACCTCCCTCGGGGTTTGTAAGATGTCAAGAGAACAACGCAGGCTACCAGGGGCTCCTTGAAAAGATGCGAGTGCTCTATGAGAAAAACAGCAGATAGCAAGAGGATCGTCGGTTTAGCTCCTTTGCCCTCGCGGTCAGCTATTACCTCGCAGGAAAGCCGGTGGGGCGTCATTCGAGATAGCTGCACCCCCGCTACAGAGACAGCAATAACTTATTCAAAGGAAGCGAGGCGGAATCATTGCCCATCTGCATGCCAGAGAATGGCAGGTGGCGCAACTAGGTTCCCTGAGGGGAAACAAGCGGCTCTGGCCGTTGACTTTCCGTACCTGTCTGAGAAGCGTCCAGCGGGCTTTGGCCGCTGCCTGCTTGCCCCTTTGCCCGGCGTCTCCCTCTTCGTTTTCCGCCTGATCCCTGTCAGCTGGAGTAGGAGAGGCGCTGAGGAACGGCTCTGCAGCCATGCTAACGTCGCTTCTCCCTTCTTCCTCCGATCTAAATTCAAACTTGAACGAGCGCGCCAAAAAATAAATCCTGAGATGAAAGGGGCAAAGGGAGTCCGGAAACAATAACTCTACAGGGACCCGTCGCCTCACCAGAAAGCAGCGGCGAAGCACACGAAACAGCCGTCAAGGCTGGGAAGCTTTTGCCCGAGCCTTTTTCAGCAAGAGTTGCTAAAACCTCCCATTTAACAACTGGGAGCATGAGAAGAGGACGGAATCATCTTTGAAGCGGGCAAGGAAACCGACGTTTGACAGTACCAACGGCTACCTGAAAAAACACAGTGAAGGATTATTTGTTGCCACGAACAGCTAAGTTCATCTCTTTTATTGTCACGGTAGGGGAAAATATTGCCCTATTTTTAACATAATTTTTTTAATGGAAAAAAAGGAAATAGATTATGATCTCGAATCAGGAGCGGCGTTTCAGTGCCCCAGACCAAAATGGAGATTTCGCATTTTATTTGCGGGCAAGGAAAATCGCCATGTTGATAAAGGGCAAAGCGAAGACTCCGGAAAGCCGCGTTCTTCTGCCATCTTGGTTGTGGGCAAGCATAGTGTTCCTAGCATATCGAGATGTGGGCAGATGAAGGTTTCGGTCGCAGGCTTAACAAGTCATCGTCGTTCGTCTTGCCGTGTTGCCGCTTGTCTGTGATCAATAGTAAGGAGCCGTCGCGTTCTCTGAGGTTCGTGTTTCGTTCTGGATTGTTATGTCCCTCCTTACAGATAGTTTAAAAGGTAAAAAGTTGGTCATAATATTTCCACTGATTTGATTGTTATATTTCAGTGACTAGAGATAACTGTTCCTTTGCTTTAAAAACAGTTTGGAGCGGGAAATCAAGCCAAAGGACGGCCCAATTTCCCCCCGGTATCTAGGAAATACAATTTTATTATAAAGCACAAAATTATAATTTCAAATGTATAGACAAAATAGTTGCAACTAAGTAGCAATTCTAAAATGCTGTACTGTACAGTGAATTGCTATAGTAAGGGTCTGTGTTAGGGTCCACTAAGTTCCTTGAGGCTTAACTGAGTAAGCATACAGTACTAGTTTATCAGCTGGGCTCTACTCTGCTATCTTTTAGTGCCTTTTTCCTTGAGGCTCTTATTAATTCCTCAAATCCAGTATATTATTCATTTTACAATGTGGAAAGGCATTTTTTCACAATACATGTTTGATCAATATTTGATTTGTATACACATGTACCAAAGAGCCCCCCCAAATAATAATACAGTAATACATATTTTATGTATGCAAACTTTTACATTGGTTCACTCTGACTGACTCTGAGTGTTTATCTACACATCTTTGTCATAGCTGACGATGTCCCAGTAAACCATTGGTCAAGGACATTAATGCATGACATTGCATTAATGCATGACATCCTCAATCCAGTCCCAGCCCACGGCAGAGACAGGGTCTACCCAACTTTCCATGTTCCATTTCAGAAGTGGCACTTCTACCACACAAGTATGCTGAGTGGTCAGTGTGCCACAAATCAGTTCAAGTAAGTTTCAAAGTGAGATCCTGCACTGATATTGTTGGCCACCTGAGGTTACTGCAGACACAGCTCTGTGTGGTCCATGCTTTCAGGGTCATTCACCTTTTGGCAATGGGAGAGTCATAGAGAAAGTGGATGGCTCAGACCTCTTCTTCCAGAAGAGCTCTGGATCTTCATAACCTGGCCCACCTTTTGTTTTGGGGTGGTGGCAGGTAATTCTCATAATTATTATGTACCTTCCTGTCAGCCTTTCAAGTCAGTCCAGACAAGAAGCACACCCAGGAATACTAGCTCTATCTTTATTTTAAGGTTATATTAACAGAATTTTGCAAGTCTGAAAGTACCCCTCCTGTCCCTCACTTTTACTGTGCCGAAAACTCAGAAGGGTCCCTTCTGAGATGCTTTCATCACCCCTCCTCTTTTGGACTCAAATTTCTTTTATCAGACCATTGTCTAGGCTGTGGCTCTTCCTCCTGTCTTCCAAGGTCATTCCCAAATACCATTGCACTTCCAGGAAGTGCCTTACTTGGTGTTCTCCCCTAATCCTAGTATGTGAGAGAGATAGGGCTCCAACATTCTGTGCTGTCTTTCTGGCAATTAAAAGATTTGGGGGGGAAAAAAAAGAATAATTTCTATAATGCAATCTCATGGCCATGTAATGTAGCCTTTCCTTGAAAGACAGACCAATCTCACAAGGGTTAAACAAAATCAAATACTGTTTGATCCCCTAAATGTTGACAATATGTGAAAAAAATGCTTCTGAGAGAATAAGATAAAAAAAATATTTGTAGAGTATTATAAACCTTGGGTAGGAAGATCCACAAGGGGCATCACAAAAGTTAAGATGGCAGTCACAGCAGCACAATTGTCATGGCTAGCTCTGAGTCTGAGGAGGAAGTGGTTACTTCAGAGGACCCTGTGGAAGAGCAGCCTGCCTCAGAGAGCAGCAGGGATACACAGGGGACTGATTTGGCTACAGCGCCTATGGAGCAGCTGGAAGCAGCAGAAGATGAGGGGTCTGATCCAGGTCCTCCTCCCAGTCCTAAGGTATGTAGGGTTGAGTGAAGGGCAGAACAGAGGAAGTCTGCACAGCTCCTTGCGAGGCAAGGGCGTTCCCACTGATCATTATTTGTACCTGGTGGGGCTTTATTTTAGAGCCACCACTACAAGCAATCCTTTTTGGGGAACAACCGCTCCATTTACCAGAACCTCTGTCTGTTGTGCCCTGAACTCTTGCCTGTGAAAACTCTGTGCTGACAACCTACGATGATTCTACGACCTCTGAACTGTGCCCTGACAATGCTTCTGCCCACTGCTTGGCACTTGCTGCTTGGGATCTTGCCTGTAAGTTTCCAAGAGATTTGGGACTGTTGGAGACTGCATATGTGTCTCCATACATGCTCAGCCTGCTGCTGCTGAAACTGCTCATCCAAAGTAAAGCCTTGAACTACGCTCCTTTATGCGTGTGTGTGTGAATGTCAGACCTGGGATAGGACAGCAAAGTTCTTTACAAATGTACAAATGTGTGAGTGTTCAAACGCATGTTAATTTTTTTTTTACATCCCTAACCCCCAGGTGAATGCTTCTTACCTAAGGGATACCATGGTTGCCATTCAGTTTTAACCAGACCTTAGCCAAATGTGGATCCTGTTCTGGTACAGAGGAAGATCTAAACAGCCAGGGGCAGACAATAAGAATAGGAAAATCTGAACTGCAGACATCAATTAAATAAACAAGAAGCAAGAACCAAAGGCTGAAAATATGGTTGTGGACAGATTGGTAATCAGATTAGCTATACAGGAATGAGTATCTCTGTTGTGAGTATGACAAGTTGCTCATATTGTAGAATGAACATTATTATAGCAATTATATAAAGTTAAATAGTTGACCTAAAGACTCAATCTAGCCAGCTGATGAGCTGCAGCATTCCTTCTCACTGCTACAATAGTGAGATTACAGCATAGGAAATATTGGGCCAGTTTTCCTTGAACCTGTGAGGTGCCTCAATTGTTCAGGAAGTAAGGCACCTGTTATCTGTTCCTTAATTTCTTGGTATGAGTCTTCTGCCTCCCTTAAGGAGATTCAGTGAAATTATCCTGGGACCTTTGGTTGTGAAATAAATAGTGACCTATCTTTCAACAAATGGAAATGGAGAGCCAGTTTGGTGTAGTGGTTAAGGCACCAGGCCAGAAACCAGGAGACTGAGTTCTAGTCCCGCCTTAAGGTCAAAGCCAGCAGGGTGACCTTGGGCCAGTCACTCTTTCTCAGCCCTAAGAAGAAAGCAAGGGCAAACCACCTCCAAAATCTTGCCAAGAAAACTGTAGGGGCTTGTCCAGGCAGTCACCAGGAGTAAACAGTGACTCGAAGGCACAACAAATCTTTTGACAATATTAAACATTCTTGCAGTATTTTTGCCAAACTTTTATGCAAGTAATGTTTTTAGAAACCAATAAGGCAAAAAAGTCTCCGGTTTGTTTCTAATTTCTATTAAATTAAAATTAAAATTTATTTTTTCTCTTCCAGCTCTGAACTAGTAGACTTGAAGACTGTACACATCTGAAAGTGAAACATCTACTACCTGTGACTAGTTTACCTGTGCTTGCTCTTACTTTGGACTCCAACAGTTCTAAAAATAAGAATCAAGCAAGATGAATATTTTGTCATCATGTATTCAGGCATAAAATACTTTCCTTACTTTTTGAAGAGCAGTATTGGTCACTTCATGAACTGTTTTAAATGTTCCTCCACTTCATCTGTAAGATTTTATAGTCAAACAAAGCAGCAAGTGTTTTTGTTTACAGCATGTTTTAGAAATGTGTACATTGTTCCTTATTCCCAGGGAACCATTCAGCCATGGAGGCTTTTTTCCTGCAAGGTATGGTATTTGAATAAATCATTCAGGCCAACAAATATCTTGGCCCTTACACAATAAAAACTGCCTTTTTTCTTGTGTCTGTGACTCACTAAAATTATTAAGGCACAAAGTATGTTTCCAGTTATGCTTACGAGACCATGACACTTAAATTTTGGGGCTTCTGTTCTGGATTCAGTTGGGTTCTGCTATTCTAGCTATTTTTAAAAAACCTGCTTATTCAGTGGAAATCCAGTGACAGACTACAACCCAGTAGAATAAAGATATTTTTTTATTTCTGCCAAAGACAATTTCTAAATTCTGTAGTCAGAAATTTAATTCAAGTAGCAGCATTTTGTGTTGATAGAAGTGAAACATTGAATTAACTGGTGGAATATCAAAAGGGATCTCTAAAGCTGCCATCCTCTACAGACTCTACAGAGGTAAATAGCATGGAACTAAGTGGGTATAATCCAATTTGAATTTTTATATTAGATCAGGAAGAGAGTGATGATGGGAAAATACAATAGCATTTATTGAACATTGCTAAGATCTTTTCAGTCATATATTAATCAAGTTGTAGTTTATATAAACTTTTTGCCATAATTGCCTTACATTTTTAATTTATTATGTATTGGGGATGTAGGTAGATTAAGTTTAACCATGTGGCAGTATATCAGAAGAATAGAAGAATAGGTAAGTTTCCTGGACCAAACTGAATTTGCAGGTTTATAACATTATGCATTAGTAGCATATGTCTATAATGTCATCATACTGTGTTGCTTATGCTTTAGGATACGTCTTCAAAACCAATTAATTGGTCCTTGAATTTATGTACAAGCATTAAAATATCATAAATTGTCCATAGATCAAAGGTTTCAAATAATTTTTTAATGAACAGAAGTCCCTTGCCATGAGCAGATAAATTAAGTACACATTCAGCCCTTGTATTGTAAGGGTATCTATGTGGAAAAATTGAGAGTCTTTATTTTTAGGAACAAATTAAACGTTAGCTTTGTTAATACAATTCATATTCACATTCTTCTGTTATAAATGGCAGCCAGTGGTAGCACTGGGCAGCTTTGAGATCATAGGAAGAGAAGGATTAATTTTGTCAGAAGCGGAGAGGGGTAAGACACCTCTCCAAAGTTGCTATTTGTAATTCAAAAGAAGCCTTCATATTACTGATAAGAGTCATTAAATTCAAAAAGTAGTCCCATACCTTTCAGCTGCTACTTGGTTACTAACTTAATTTTCTGGAATAGAATATGCAACATATTCTCAACCAAAATTATTAAAGGCATTTTTTAGTTGGTATATAATTTCAGGTTGTATTAGTAAATCCTGCTTATTAGCACTTAAACATCTCATGTCTTCTACTAGGATCTTCTGAAATCAGAGCAAAAGAACTGGAGGGTTTGTTCAGCAAACTACACAGATTTGAGAGAAAGAATGAAACAAAAATTAGAAAAGCATTATAACAGTCATTCATCAAGTCCAAGTAGCCTGATGGTAAGTATTATAAAAGTTGCCAACTTGCTTATCATAATACTGATCCTGAAACTATTTTGAAAGTTATTTAAAGAGATGTCTGTGTGATAAAGCTTGTCTTGTTAGTAATAGTCTGTATTTGCATAACTCTTTTAAGCATTCAAATATTTTATGTGTGTTACTTCCATATAACTCCTACCATAAATCTGTAAGGTAGGTATTATTAACCCAATTCTGTACATGGAGAGACTGAAGGAAAGTAGTTTGCATTGGTCTATTTCCTGAATGCATTGGGAAAATGGAGTTCAGATATAACATATTTCATCACACCAGGATTTAAAACCAGTGTTACAAAGGTTTTTCATTAAAATAAAACAATTTTGTGATGAGTCCATCATGATCATTCCAGAGTTTGAATATCCATTTACAGTTATTGAGGTTAAATAGCTTCCATTTCCCTAGGTTTGTTTGCCTGTTTGGTTTTTAAGAAATTTCATGATTGTACATTTATATCCCATTTGTTTCTACCAAGGCGTGAATATTTTTCTAAACCGTTACTACTGCATAGAGAGCCAATGTGGTATTACTGATTGACTCTGGGCCAGTTTCACATGATGGTTGTTATGGGGAGTAATGGGAGGAGGGAGCACAAGTCATTATCTAGAGCTCCTGAATGAAAGACAAGATAAAAATCTAATAAATAACATGAAAGCTTGCATTATATTTAGATATGAAGGGATCTCAAAGTTAATTGTATCAAGAGCACAGAAATATTTGTAAACAACTTTGGATGATCTTGAACAGCTAAACAGAGTTAGATCTGATTAATATCTTGAAACACTGTGTTGCCTGACTGGGAAGTTAAAAAAAAAAATCCAGAAGAAGGCAATGGCAAACAACTTCCATATTGTTGCCAAGGTAGCTACATGGATGTGTCCATGATGTTATTAGGAGTCAAGCTTAACTTTACCAAAATAGTATATTCATGTTCCTGAAATTTATCTCACTCTCTGATAACTGAGGAGTGTATAAATATTAATGTACTAATGGCAGATGGATATAAGAACGTTCATTAGTTCCTTTAAAAAATCAGATGTTTTAGATGAGAGGAATACTATATTCCAGTGCTCGATTCATCTACTGACATGGATAAGGGAAGCATATGAAACACATCTTTGAAGGTTGGATACAAATCAAACAAATAAAATGGCTCACAATATATGTGGATACAAGGTGAGGTGATGCCAGTGTACTATGTGTGCCTTAAGTCAGGATGCCAGTATGCTTGATTTAACACTTTGCAACTACAAGTAGTCCTTGTTTACCGACCACTGGTTCAGCAACCGTTTGAAGTTATGATGGCGCTGAAAAAGAAGATTTATGATTGGTCCTTGAAGTTGCAGCTGTTGCAGCATCCCTGCAGTCACAGGATCATGATTTGGGTGCTTGGCAACTGACACTGATTTACAACAGCTGCAGCATCCTGTGGTCATGTGATCACCATTTGCAACCTTCATAGCCAGCTTCCAACAAGCAAAGTCAATGGGGAAGCCAGCAGGAAGTTGCCAGTCACGTGATGTTGCACTTAATGACCGTGGGTATTCACTTCAAGACTGCAGCCAGAATTGATGTTGTAAGTCGGCACAGTCACATGACATTTCACTTTTATGACCACGTTGCTTAGTGACGGAGTTACCGGTCCCATGTGAGGATTACCTGTAGTACCATGAAGATTACTACCAAATTAAGGGGAGATGAAAAGGCTATTGGCTGAGATGTGATGATAGGTGGTATAAGAATCAGATGTTCAGAATGGTATAAACCAGTGTTTCTCAACCTTGACCACTTTAAGATGGGTGGACTCCAACTCACAGAATGCTGGCTGGGGAATTCTGGGAGTTGAAGTCCACCCACCTCAAAGTGGCCAAGGTTGAGAAACACTGGTATAAACTAAGACTGTTTCTGTGAATTACTAGATCTTTACAGCAGCATTCTTCAAACTGCCATTTTTCAAATGAGTTAATACTACATCTACCAGAATGCTCACCTAGCAGTGGCTGAAGATTTTGAGACTTGCAGTCCTAGTACATCTGGAAGACAGCCTGGAGGGAAATGCTAAATCTTACAGTTTTTATGATATTACATGAGGGATATAAGGAAGCATATTTTGCTTCTAATTGTATAGAGATCCCATAGATCTCAAGAAAGCTCAGTTTATTGTACAGTAATTTGACAAAATATAATTAGAGATAATGACGTAATTCTGCAAGCTTTGTAATGTATCCATTTTTATTTTAATGTTAACCAGATTAAGTTTGGAGACTATATTTACTTTGAAGAAAATGGCTGCATATTTCGTTCAAAGCTGGGAGAAGTAGGTATGAGTATTTCTTATATTACTAAATTTAAATATTTTTAGTATTTCCATATGCAGCTTTAATAAATTAAAAGAAACTTTCAGTAAGTTCCTAGGAAAACAATGTGTTATATTAGGCAAGAAAAGGTATATGTCATCCTCAGCAAAATCCTCAGAACTACAACCAGTCAGAGGGGAGCTGGGGCAGGAGGCCACATATCCTGGGCCTCATACTACAAGGGAACCTTGTATTTAGGCGTAAGTTATTTTTTATTTTAAAATTATGTTTCATTCAGAGTTTATGTAAGTAGCTGGAGCCTTTGTGAATCTCAAAGAGGAAAGTTGGACTCTCAAACCAATAATAACAAAATGATTGTGGTTTTTTTTTTCTTTATCTAAAACATTTCAAGCCTTATTTAAGGAGAAAAGCCTTAGCACCTGGCTGACCACATCTGGACTGGGAACTTCAGGATCAGGTTTATTGTTACTTGAATGGGAAACCTTCAAGGAATGCCAGGGTTGCAAGTTAGAACAGAAACATGAAAAACATCCCAGAAGAAGGCATTAGCAAACCACTTTTAATTGAATATGGTTGTCAAGCAACCTGTAAGGATTTATCCATGAACTGACTAGGTATCAAACTCCATTCAAAACAGACTTTAAATTTTTAAGGGGTAAACTTCACCCAAAGTAGCTTTTAAAAAATAAGCATAAAAGTCCATGCAATAAAGTAATTCTATTTGCTAGGTTTGTCATTTCATTTAGCAATTTGGGAATTGTGCAGCACATAAACTATAGCAGATGCCTTTCAAATATCATAGAACAGTATTTCTCAAATTTGGCAACTTTAATGGACTTCAGCCCCCAGAATTCTTCAGCCAGCTAATCATGTAAGCATATATAGATGTGTGTTTTTGTATGTGTATGGCCATTTGATTTTTTTTTTAACACCAAAAAGAGCATGAGACAAAATATACTTAAAACAACCTATTAATTTTGAGTTTTAAGCACAGGTGTTATATCGCATTCTCTTCTGTGACTTTGCTAATATATTTGGATGTGGATTGGGGAGTAAAATACATTCAAATTCAGTTTCTTTGTTTTGATTTTTTTTTTTTGCACAAAATTTAAGGTAAAATTTTGAAATAAAGAGGATATGACCACAGTCTTACCCGTTTCGTTGTGATTAGGTTTCATCTATCCATCCATTCATCAATTAATTAATTAATTGAGAAAATCTATGTAATTGCTTGTCAAGAGAACAAGCTACTCATAGCAAACACTCTTTTCCAACAACGCAAGAGACGACTCTACACATGGACATCACCAGA